GAAATGACGGTTCGAGGTCTCCACTTTTTAATTCAAGAATCGTTCGCGTTTCTTACTCATGGAATACTGACTTCAAAGTAGTTAAGACATAAATTTACAAATTACAGGGTTTTTTAAAATCCCACAAGGGTATTACTGTTGAGTCTAAACTCACTAGATTGTAGATCTAGATTTCTAGATCTAGGCCTACTCACTTAGTCACCCGAGCCCCCAACTTTTAATTAGTTAAAACCGTTCGGCTCACCGTGTGACATTTCCAATCAAACACTAAACAACCCTAGATCTAGCATTAAGCATTGCCATTATACTCATTTGTTAGAGAATGCCATTCTAAGTCGGTAATGATAATAATAGTAATAGGAAGCTTACTTGGTTGACTAAGCGTTCGGCTCACCGTGTGATATACAATCAAACTCTTTTCTAAACAACCCTAGATTTAGCTCTACAAAGTGCCCAGCTGAGATAGATCTAACATTGCCATTAGATCTAGAATCTAGATCTAGTCATTAATTAGTGAATGCCAATACTCGGTAATAGAGGAAGCTTAAATTTGTTTTACTAAATTAGTATTAGTAATTAGGGTTAGGCTCACTGTGTGCTATTCCCATCAAACCTCAAACAAACTTAGATTTAGCTCTACAAAGGCCAGTACATTGCATGCAGTTCCAGTGGACATTAGTTAGTTATAATAAGTTAGGGACTACTAAGAAGGAGAGGCAAGCCTAGGCCTAGGTCTAGATTCTAGGTCTAGATCTGGTCTCTCTCTCTCGGGAGACTCTCTGAGTCTTGTTTGGTTCTACACGATACAACGTAACAACATCTAGAGTCTAGATCTAGATCTATAGTAGCCTACACTGCCCAGCTTTAAGCTACAATAAACCACCACAGCCATCTGATCATTACCTTAGGTTCTGAATTCAGATCAACAAGGCACAGACACACGTTCGCTACTGTATGCAGTTTCGCGACAACGCGGCTTCCGCTTGGCAAATGTTTATGTTTCTGAGCACAAACGAGGGGTGGTGTGCAATCAACCTAAGAAAACCGATGGAAGTCGTGACTGACCTTAGGTTCTGAATTCAGATCAACAAGGCACAGACAACACGAGAGAGAGAGAGAGAGAGAGAGAGATAGAGAGAGAGAGAGAGAGAGAGAGAGAGAGAGAGAGAGAGAGAGAGGAAGAGAGAGCAGGGGAAAGTGCTAGCAAAACAACCTAAGAAAACCGATAGAAAGACAGAGACAAACAAAGAAAAAGAGACAAACAAAGAAAAAGAGAGAGAGAGAGAGAGAGAGAGAGAGAGAGAGAGAGAGAGAGAGAGAGAGAGAGAGAGAGAGAGAGAGAGAGAGTAGAGAGAGAGACTGCTCGATTGAAATTATGACACTGTTCTTTTCTTCAAATTGTGATTCCTCCAAGTCCAAAAACGGAGGAAAACGATCGTTCATCGAAAAGACATCCGCAATTTTCATTTAGGTCTAGAGATCTAGATCTAGGCTAACCTCGAAACTAGATCAATGATTTATCTGTGTCTATCTAGACCTAGGCCATAGATCTAGATCTAGAAGAACCTAAGTCTAGGTCTAACCTGAGCCAAGAGGGCGCTGAAACTTTCCGAATTCACAAAAGAGTTCCCCTACCGGGTCTGTATACTTCGTGACTTTGTTCCCGGTTACCGGGTCTGTATACACTCCCTATTTAAAATTAATACCTACAGAACGACAGTGACGCAGTCGGTTTAAAAATTGAGGTTCCGTGCGGGGATGTCCGTCCGCACCAAAACTATTTTGGCCCGTGCTGTAGCCCTTCCAACGAAAAGACACGCTTTTTTTAACGGATGACTTGGGACAGATGGCACCGATTGTTATCGAGCTACCGTTCCCGGTCTTGTTCCATTTACATCAATATCCGTAAGAAAATAGTTCCTCCTGACTCATATCGAGCAATATTTTATTCTGGCCTCTCAAGAAAAGTGCCCTTCCACACCAATCTGTAACGTTGAAATGAGTATTGCTCGAAAAGACAAAACGGGGTTGTCACGCGTTTAGAGGGCACTCTTTGGGAGAATTAGGGGTCCCGGCCTTATTCCATAGAAATAACTCGCAATCGGAAACACAAACGGAAGCCGATTAAAAAAGCTGGCTTGAGTTGCCAGGGTCACAATGCCACCCGATGAAGAAAAAAATCAGGATGAAAATATTCTAAAATAGAACGACAAAAAAATACCGAAGACAGCTTTTTTACCCTACTTCCCTTTTTGTTTCCGACTACAAACTCTTAGTGCTATTTCTTTGGAGTTAAGCCGGGACCACTCCTATCGAAGAATGCCGTTTAGAGAATTGAGGCTAAAAGTAAACGGGATCGAAAGTTATTCGCCAAAAAATCTAGGCCTATGCTTTTGCGTCGGACGAGCGCAGAAAATTTCCCAAACTGAAATGACGGTTCGAGGTCTCCACTTTTTAATTCAAGAATCACCCGCGTTTCTTACTCATGGAATACTGACTTCAAAGTGAACCATTAAAGAGACACATTTAAAAATTACAATTTTATTGATCCCAGAGGGGCAGTTTGGTTAACGGTGTCAACACACCGACATTTGCTTGTCATTACTGTTGAGTCTAAACTCACTAGATCTGGACCCACTCACTTACTTAGCCAACCGAGCCCCCAACTTTTAATTAGTTAAAACCGTTCGGCTCACCCTGCGACATTTCCAATCAACCACTAAACAACCCTAGATCTAGCTGTACAAAGCCAAGTCCTAGCATTAAGCATTGCCATTACTCATTTGTTAGTGAATGCCATTAGTCGGTAATAATATATATAATAATAGGATTCTCACTCGGTTGACTAGAAGCCTTTGGCTCACCGAGTGATATTTCCAATCAAACACATTTCTAAACAGCCCATGATTCTAGCTCTACAAAGTGCCCAGCTCAGATAGATCTAGCATTGCTATTAGATCTTGATCTAGAATCTAGATCTAGATTCTAGTCCTTAATTAGTGAAGCTTTTGTTTTATTAAATATTAGATCTAGATCTAGATCTAGATCTAGTTATAAATTAGTATTAGAATCTTCTAGATCTAGTATTAGATCTAGTATTAGGTATTAAGGTTAGGCTCACCGTGTGCTATTCCCATTATACACAAAACCCTAGATTTAGTTCTACAAAGGCCAGTCCTACCCCTGTACACTGCATGCAGTGCCAGTGGTCATAAGTTAGAATCTCTATACTAAGTAGTAAGTTAGGGACTAAGACTAAGAGCTAAGAAGGAGAGGCAAGCCTAGCTATGAGTCTTGTTTGGTTCTACACGATACAACATCTAGAATCTAGATCTAGATCTATACTAGCCTACACTGCCCAGCTTTCAGCTACAAAAACTACCATAGCATTCTGATCATTACCTTAGGTTCTGAATCCAGATCAACAAGGCACAGACAGCACGTTCGCACAGTATCTGGTTTCGCTTTCGAATGAGAGACAAGGCACGGCGCATGTCAAGTAAAACTTCCGCTTCCGATTTTTCCTAATTTCTGAGCACAAACGAGGGGTGACCAAGCGAGTTAAACTATAATATACAGAGAAAGAGAGAAAGAGAAAGAGAGAGAGCGAGTTAAACTATAATATACAGAGAGAGAGAGAAAGAGAGAGAGAGAGAGAGAGAGAGAAAGAGAGAGAGAGAAAGAGAGAGAGAGAGAGAGAGAGAGTTAGGTGTATGGGGAGATAACAACTTAAACTTAATGGGCTTTCAAACGATTGTCTTTCTCTTTCATGAAGGGTTTGTCCACTGAAATAAAATACGCACACAGTGCGTCTTTATCGAAGAGCGCAGACCTCCGGGACACACCGGGAAGAGCAGATTTGCACACCTCGTCTTTTTTCTGTGCTTTTGTTCGTGCACCAACATGTTTGTCTGTACTTCGGTCTGTTGTGTAATAATGGTTAAGGCTGGATCTTCTTCTTCTTCTTCTTCATCTTCTTCTTCTTCTTCTTACTTCCTCCCTCCACACCCCCACTTTCTCTCATTTCTCATTTGTAGATAGCTTGTACACGTGGCTACTAGTATCGATTACTCAATGTACATTACTACTCTAACTTTTTTAGCTTCCCGTTAAAAATCTTTAGGTTTAGAACTCAAAGTCCCATATTTTGGATAAGAAACATAAGTTTTAAGGAACACAGTCCCGTACAGTGGTTTAAGATGTTTGCATTGTGAGATATAACGTGCGATTCTGAAATAGTTGAGTATCGATATTTGCCATTTTCGATAATATACCAATAAACGGCATTTTAACAAATTTCCTTCTTTCCGATTCATGCCAATTTTCAGTACATGTGCATTATAGAGGAAGGTTTTCTGGTTCTAATGACCTAGACAGAGAAAGAGAGAGAGAGAGAGAGAGGGGGGGGGAGATAGAGGGGGGAGGGGAAGAGAGAGAGGGGGGGTATGGTGTGTGTGTGTGTGTGTGCGTGCGTGCGTGTGAGAGAAAAAGAGAGAGAGAGAGAGAGAGAGAGAGAAAAAGAGAGAGAGAGAGAGAGAGAGAGAGAGAGAGAGAGAGAGAGAGAGAGAGAGAGAGAGAGAGAGAGAGAGAGAGAGAGAGAGAGAGAGAGAAAGAGAAAGAGGGTGGGTTGGAGGGGACAGAGGGGGGGATTAGGGGTTATGGGGTGACAACATCTTTGCCCCTTATTTTCAAAATATTTTTTTTCTCTTTCACGAAATGTTTGGCGATGATTTGTATTTTCCGCTAGACTGGAAAAATTTTAATATACGCCCAAAGTGAGCTTTTTCTATGAGCGCAGACCTACGGGACACACCGGGAAGTGCTGCTGACTCTCTCTCTCTCTCTTTTTCTCCCTCTCTTTCTCTCTCTCTCTCTCCCCTCTCTCGTCCTGTCTTTTTTTCCTGAGTGTGTGCGTGAGTGCGTGCAAGCGTGTGTGCATGCGTGCGTGCGTGCGCGCATGAATGCATAATGTGCGTGTGTTTGTGTGCGTACAATATATGTATATATGGCTGTCGCATTGGCCTTTTATCGATAATTTGTCTCACTTATATTATATGAATGTACGAATAAGAAAACAACTCAAGCCCGACTTTCGACTGGAAATGTTTTAATGAAATATACCTATTTCGGGTCGGACTTCCAAGCGCGCGCGAGTGTATGTGTGTGTGTGTGTGTGTTGGTGTTGGTGCGTGCGTGTGTGCGGGATTGAGGATGCGTGAGAACTCACCGTCTCCTTGTCGCTGGCAAACGGCTGGCGCTGCTCCTCTCCAGACATGATACTGCGTCCGCGAAGATTCCGAGATCGGGGGAAAGAGAAGGGGAAAAATGGACCTGACCAAAACTGTTACGGTTACCAGGTCAGAGGGCTTGGAAACGTTATTTAAAATTAATACCTACAAAATGACACTGACGCAGTCGGTTTAAACATGAGGGACGGAGCGGGGATGTCCGTCCACACCAAAACTATTTTTGCTCGTGCTGTAGCCTGTCCGATGAAAAGACACGCTTTTCTTACGGATGACTTGAGACAGACGGCACCCATTGTTAATGTTATCGAGCTACCGTTCCCGGTCTTGTATCAGTTTGTCCCATTTACATATCGATATCCGTAAGAAAATAGTTCCGCCCGACTCATATCGAGCAATATTCTGGCCTCTATAAGAAAAGTGCCCTTCCACACCAATATATAACGTTGAAAAAAGTTTTGCTCGAAAAGACAAAACGGGGTTGTCACTCGTTTAGAGGGCACTCTTCGGGAGAAGTAGTCCCGGCCTAATTCCGTAGAAATAACACTTGCAATCGGAAACAAAAAAGGAAGCCGATTAAAAAAATAATGTGGGAAATATTCTAAACTTGAAGTAAGGAAAAAAAATTACCGAAGACAGCTTTTTTATTCGACTTCTGTTTTTGTTTCTGACTACAAGTCTTAGTGTTATTTCTATGGTGTTAAGCCGGGATCACTTCCCTCGAAGAGTGCCGTTTAGAGAATCTAGGTTAAAAGTAAACGGGATCAAAAGTTATTCGTTATTCAACAAAAAGTCTAGGCTTATGCTTTTGTGTCGGACGAGCTGCGAAAAATTTCCCAAACTTAAATGACCGTTCGAGTTCAAGAATCGCTCGCGTTTCTTACTCATGGAATACAGACTTCATAAATTTACTAATTATACTAATTACAGTTTTTTTTATCCCACAAGGGTATTTTCTAGATCTAGATCTAGATCTAGGCCTACTCACTACTCACTTAGATCTAGATCTAGATCTAGGACTATTAATTAGTTAAAACCGTTCGGCTCACTGTGAGACATTTCCAATCAAACACTAAACAATTATAGTCATTTGTTAGTGAATGCCATTCTAAGTCATTTGTTAGTGAATGCCATTCTAAGTCAGTAATGATAATAATTTTCTAAACAACCCTAGATTTAGATCTACAAAGTGCCCAGCTGAGATAGATGTAACATTGCCATTAGATCTAGAATCTAGTCATTAATTAGTGAATGCCAATACTCGGTAATAGAGGAAGCTTAAATTTGTTTTACTAAATTAGTATTAGTAATTAGGGTTAGGCTCACTGTGTGCTATTCCCATCAAACTTCAAACAAACTTAGATTTAGCTCTACAAAGGCCAGTACATTGCATGCAGTTCCAGTGGACATTAGTTAGTTATAATAAGTGAGGGACTACTAAGAAGGAGAGGCAAGCCTATGCCTAGGTCTAGATTCTAGATCTATATTTATATTTATAATAATTTATATCTAGATATATAGATCTAAGGAGGTCTAGATCTGGTCTCTCTCCCTCGGGAGACTCTGTGAGTCTTGTTTGGTTCTACACGATACACCATCTAGAGTCTAGATCTAGATCTATACTAGTCTACACTGCAAAGCTTTCAGCTACAATAAACCACCACAGCCATCTGATCATTACCTTAGGTTCTGAATTCAGATCAACAAGGCACAGACAACACGTTCGCAACTGTATGCAGTTTCGCTTTCGAATCAGAGACAACGCGGCTTCCGCTTGGCAAATGTTTATGTTTTTTCTATTTCTGAGCACAGACGAGGGGTGGTGTGCAATCAACCAGAGAGACAGAGAGACAGAGAGACAGAGAGACAGAGAGAAAGAGAGACAGAGGGAAGAGAGAGTGAGAGACAGAGAGACAAAGAGGGAAGAAAAGAAAGAGAGAGAGAGAGAGAGGGTGACAGAGAGAAAGAGAGAGACAGAGAGACAGAGAGAGATAGAGACCGAGAGAGACAAAGAGAGAGAGGCAGAGAGAGACAGAGGGAAGAAGAGAAAGAGAGAGAGAGACAATAAGACAAAGAGGGAAGAAAAGAAAGAGAGAGGGGGGGAGAAAGAAAAAGAAACAAAGAGAGAATGAGTGGGGAAATGAGAGAAAGAGAGAGAGAGAGAGAGAGAGAGAGAGAGAGAGAGAGAGAGAGAGAGAGAGAGAGAGAGAGAGAGAAAAGAAAGAGAGACAGAGAGAGAAAGAGTGAGAGTGAA